GGACACAGCCTCATTGTTTCCCACAGAGCTGCTAGTAGGTTTGAACTGCCAACCTTGCAGCCCAGTGCCTAACCTACAGCCATCAAGGCTCCACTGTAATAAAGAATGATTATAATGAAAACCACAGATATTGTTTATATATCCAGTACTTCAGCTTATGTCAGAACCACCTTAGGACGGAGTTGTTGGAATAGAATCTGTCATTCCCTGGTGGCGCAGTGCTTACTCTTTGGGCTACTCACCACAGGGTCAGCAGTTAGAAACCACTCCTTGGAAGAAAAATGAGGCTTTCTACTCCCACAAAGAATTAGAGTCTCAGAAACCGTTGCTTCTACTCTTTCCTGTAGGGTCACTATGAGTTGACATTGATTCAATGGCATTGAATTTAGTATTTTTTTGACCCTGTACTTTTTAAGGGGTGTAATTTATTGAATCTGCCTTTAGAAATGTACTCTGTTGAGTATGTCTTTGAAACACACGCTTTAGATTTGCCTATCGTTTTGGTTTTTCTGACATTGCTATGTTTGGTTGCTAATCGCAAAGTCAGCAGTTCAAGCCTACCCGATACTCTGCTGGAGAGAGTGAGACCATGTGTTCCCAGGAAAGTTGACAGCCTCGGACACAATGTAGGTGGCAGTGAGTCAGAACCATGCAATGGTGGTGGGTTGGTTTGATGTGGCTTGGTTATTCTGCTGTGGAGGTCACGTTTTTGAAACTTTTTATCAGCAGGATGCTATTTTAAAGTCTTTTTTCTAATACCCCCCTCTGTATTATATGCTCTCTTTACGTCACAAAGTGGTGACTCTATAGCTGCTCCAGTTAAAACTCACTTTAAGTCGTGTTACACTGGCCTCAGATGTGCATTGAAGTTGCATTATGCGTATCTCACCTCATCAGACAATGGCCAGATCTTTCTACTGGAGGCAGATAGGGAATTTCAGACCCATTAGATTAATTGTTCTTTGCCAAAACATCCAGTTTTCTGTTTTACCCATTAATCTGTAAATAATGTCTTAATGTTTCCTGTTAGTTGAATTTTAATGGGTCATTTGTATGTTGCATCTTCCCCTTGTTTGTGTCCTCAGTTTTGTTCCGTTTGAACTTAACACCGTTTCCTACTTAGCCAACCAATCCAGCTTTATTTTAATAGCCTGAAGACGGTGTTTTGTTTTCTCATGCTCAATGACTAGTTTTGTCAGGAAATGGCTTTGACAAAATGGCCTCATTTCTTTGGAGAGCCCTTAAATGCAAAGATTCTCCTGAGAGTGTGATATGAGGTAAATATGAGCACTATAATCCTAAGTGCACAGGCTCATGCTCCAAAGTATACCAGGAGTCCTGGTGGACCATGGTTAAAGGTCAGCAGTTGGAACCTTCCGCCTGCTTTGAAAGAGACAGCTGTGGCAGTCTGCTTCTGCAAAGACAACAGCCTCAGAGCCCCCATGGGGCAGCTCTACTGAGCCCCATAAGGTCACGGTGAATCAAAATTGACTTTATGCAATGGGTCTCTGATCATAGAGCACAGCAGAAAGACACGGATCAGAAAAATCACAAGTGTAAGTTTCACTTTTAATTTTGTCCATAACTGTCCATGAGTCCTTAATAATTATCTAATAAATTTATTGCCTCCGCATCTACAAAATGGGGATGCCATGATGTTAAGAACGATGTATTAAGACATCCACTCCAACCTGACAAAACCAGGCTGGCATCATTGTCTCATATGGCCATTGCTGTCGCTAAGAGTTTTCCCAGTGCAGACGCGCATTTGAATTATGCACAACCAGCTTTGTACCAGTGGTGAAGCTGGAAAAGACTAGTTTCTTAGATATGTGAGAAGGTGGAAAATGTGGTGAATTTGCCCAGTCGTTTAGCATTAGTAAAAAGACAGTTTTGGCAGAATAATTGCTTTTTCCATCCTTGAATATACTGTCTTCCTTTCCACCGTAACTATGGAGGTAAGACGTCATATGTTTAAAATCGTTTAACCTAAAGAGGGAAAAAAAGAGAAAGAAATCTCACCTTCAAAACAAATAAACAAACTCTGGAGGAGCCTGCAGGCATTTGGATTGAACATTTCACTGTCCCAAGAATTGTAAACACCTTAAGACCTCGGGGAGCCATGCCCATGAGCTCACTGAGACTTTGGCTTCCTGTATCTCATACCATGCACCTGAGGGAGTTCTTGGAGCGGGGGCAGATGCGATCACTTCTGTGGATTTTCCCAGAGTGGCTCCAGCGCTACAGCTGACTGTCTCCACTGATAACAGCCGTGAGCGAGTCCTTGCGAGGTCTTCTTGGCCGTGGAAAGGATGCGTTGGCACTTGGCCTGTTGAGCTTATCTCCATTTACATCCCATCCCACAGTTACTGCTCTTCCCCTTTTACTGGTGTGACTCAGTGTCCTAAAGATGCCTCCCACCTCACCAGGGACCACTGAGTCAGCAATGTCTCACAGTGACCCCATGTGTGTCAGAGAAAACTGTGCCCCTGAGGATTTTCACGGACTGATTTTCTGGAAGTTGATTACCAGGTCTTTGTTCCAAGGTACATCAAGGTAGATTTGAACTAGCAACCAAGTGAGTTCATCTCTTGCACCATCCCGAGAGGCCACCTTCTCCTCCATCTTTATAAATTCAGTTAAATTTAGTCCATTGAGCATACACAATAGTACAGACATTAGGTCACACCCTAAGCGATACTTGGAACTTATTAATCCTTGGTCAATCATGGCCGAGGATGCAAAATCAGAACTGACGTGAGTTTGTGAAATATGGCTATCCCAGAAAAATAACTGGGAAAGGAAAAAAAAACATCATCTCCCTCGTCGAAAACAGGCAGTGTGCACGGTACATCGCAACCAAGTTTCTTGACTGACAGGGTTGGAAACCACGGAGCCCCACTCTGATGGTGACAAACCACGCCATTTTGAATGTGTGTCACTCCCCACGGTCCTGACAACAATCCAATCTCCTCAGCAGGCTCCTACTCCAGGGCTTTCACGCCCAAGTTTTCCCCAGTCTCAGGATCATTCTGGTTCACGCAGTTTGAAGCAATGGTGGCCGTAACCTTCTGAGCCGATCTTTCTGCTTTGCTTGTGTTTGAGGTCTTTGCACTCTTTCTTAAAACATTGGGTCCAGCGGAAGAGCGGCGTTTTAGGAGGGGCAGTGGGGAAATGATGGGGGCCCGTGACGGACCTCCACCGGAGGACTAGTGGGAGGGAGAATCCAGCACCACACCAGCACAAGGTCGATCTTCACAAGGCAGAGGTCAAAGCTGCCTGCACCCTCCATCTTTCTTTCCCCTGTTCTGACTCAAGATGCCCATTCCACAACACGCCACTCCCCTGCTGGGCTTGATCGTCCTCTGCACGGACCACACACAACTCACCATTGTGGGCTTGACTAGGGAATCGGATGGAAAGGAAACAGTCTTTTCCCACCAGGCTTCTTCTCAGCCAGGCTGGCAGGCAAGTCGCTCTCTCGTCTTGGGAAATTTCTTTTACTGTCACCACGAGGCCCCTGCTCATGCTTCTAGGACAGGAAGAGGTGTTCTAGGAGACCTTCTGTGGTAAACCGTACCCCATCCAGCCTACAGCCTTGATCTTGCCCCTTCGGACTTCGTTTGTTTCTCACACACAAAGATTACGAAGAGGGAGCCGTTTTGATGTGGCGACAGTGGAAGAGCTCCAGGTTCTGAAGGGGAGGCTTCGAGAGGAGAAGAGACCACCTTTCAAAGTGTGTAGGTCTCAGTGGAGCGTACGAGCGAAATCCCCCCTTCAAAAGAATGGAGGTTTTTTCGAAAGCTATGAATTAAATTTTTTTTTTTTAACAAAACAACCTTCTCACCTTCAAAGTACTCTCTACTACACTTAATACATTTGTCAAATCTGCAATTCCATTCTTGGAAACATTTTTCAAAATCATCTGTTTGGATGGCTGACAGCACCTCCCTCCTTTTGTCCTTCACCTCTTCTACTTCGTCAAATCACTGTCCTATCATGTCCCTCTGCATTTACGGAAACTAAAAAGTCATGCAGCACAAGGTCGGTGAGTCAGGTGCATGGGGCAAGAGAGGCATGCTGGTTTTTGCCCAAAACTGGCACACTGAGATGGCTGCGTGAGCTGGTGCATTGTCGTGGTGGCAAAATAGTGCCTCATCTGTCACAAATCAGGGCTTTGTTGTCACAAAGTACTATGCAATCTTTTCAGAAACTCTTGAGTAGAAAGCTTGATGAACAGTCTGACCTGGTGGAAAAAATTCCAAATGCACTATGCGTCGACATTTTGGTCCCTTCGGGAAGCTGATGGACACCCAGAATGAGGTTTGTCATCCATCAACATTTCACCTTTTTTTGAAACGGAGAAACCCACTCATACACTTGAGTTTTTTCCCATAGTGCCGTCCTTGTAAGCTGTGTCCAACAGCACAACAGTTTCTGTAGCGTTTTTTTCTGAGCAGGAAACAAAAATTCACAGCCGAATGAGTTAAATCAGACAGCACAAAAAAACAATGTTCAAGAGTGTTTCCAAAAAAATTCACAGACCACAGAGAACCTTCCCAGGTGAAGCTACTGGGTGCACTCACTCAGAGTTTGTTGTTTGAGGCTTACCTAGCGGGAAAAACTCGTAGTACAAAAGCTCCCCCCACCAGAGCCTTTTTCTGTTGTTGTTTTGTGTGTGTGTGTGTGAGAGAGAGAGAGAGAGAGAGTGATGGAGTGGGGGGAGGTACCCCTTGTATGTCAGAAAACAGCATCTTCACATTTGGTGTATTAGTTTACTGCAGATGTGATGATTTTGTAGCAATATTCTCTACTAACCCTCATAATACATGTCTACATAGCATTATGTATAATTAGGAAATAAATCGAGTTTGTCTTTCATGCCAAAGCTGTCCCCCATAATCATATTACTGATTCCTGATTTTTTTAAGAAAAAAAAAAGCATAAATGTAGGGTTATTTTTAATTTTTATCTTCCATTTTTATTTTTTACCTAGGATGCTGGAGAAATGGTCCGTTCCTTCGTTGGTGGTTTGGAACTTGTTGTCAATTTACTGAAATCCGAAAACAAAGAAGTATTGGCGAGTGTTTGTGCTGCTATTACCAATATTGCCAAAGATCAAGAAAATTTAGCTGTTATTACAGATCATGGAGTTGTCCCTTTGTTGTCTAAACTAGCAAATACGGTAAGTAACACATCTTTTAAAAATAACATAAGTGCCATTAAACAATGGCATCGCTTAGTGGCAAAACCAGTGAGTTTAAGGTCAGGCTACTACGTTTAATATTCATCACATTTGAGTCTTGTGGTTTGGGTCAGCTCATTTAGTTTCTCTGAGGGTGGTTCAAACCTACTAGCCACTCCATTTGAGAAAGATGCAGCCCTCTACTCCCATCCAGATGTTATAGCCTCAGAAACCCTCGATGGGGTGCTACGGGGTGGGATAGATCAATTCACTGCCTGGGGATTTGGTATTTGGGGGCTTGGTAATAGATGCAAAAATATTTTTAAAATTTTAAGTATTAATATATAAGATCTTTGTGGGGAGGGGGGAAAGGCTGTTTCTGTTTGCCTCAGGCAACTAAAACAGTGGCAAGTATAAATACTCTAAGATGTTAATTCTCATCTACCCCATCAGGACTCTGCCCCCCTCCCCACAGCTCCCTCATCTTTACCCCCATCATCACTATTATTATCCTTAAAATGCTTGCTTATGCCAACATTGTACGTTAAATCTGCCTCCCCCAGCTCAACAAGCCTGGGCCAATGGCATTCTCGAGCTGGAAGACTTTGGCAAGCACTGTCTTGTTTATCTATGGCTTTGCCAGATGAAATAAGCAGGCCTCAGAGACAACGACTTCACCGTGATCAGAAGTAGATGTACTTGAGTAGTGCTTGGACTACCACTTGGAACAAATGTTGTAGATCAGAAATCCAAACACTGGAAGGCTGCTTGGTCTAAAAGACCTTTGGGAGGCCAGTACTGAGCTCCTAAGAGACCTGCCAGTTGTACTTAGGGACGCCAAGTTGGACTGTTATATTGTTCAAGAGAATGGCATACTTAAAGAGAAAATCAGATCCTGTTCAGTGGTGTGAAAGGAGCGCTGGCGGCAGCGTGGTTACCTATTGCGTGGCTAACCACAAGGTCAGCAGTTAAGAAACACTAGCGACTGCGCAGGAGACCGATGAGGCTTTCTACTCCCTATCGCACATCTGCCTGACCTCCCAGCGCCGCTACAATACCTTTTCCGCACCTTGTTCTCCTCTGCGCAGAATAACGATAAGCTGAGGCGTCACCTGGCAGAAGCTATCTCACGTTGCTGCATGTGGGGCAGGAACAGAGTGGCCTTTGGCGAGCACAAAGCGGTGGCTCCACTCGTGCGGTACCTGAAGTCAGAGGACACCAGCGTGCACCGAGCCACGGCCCAGGCCCTGTACCAGCTTTCCGAGGACGCCGATAACTGCATCACCATGCACGAGAACGGCGCTGTCAAGGTACGGTGTGATGGCTGCGTGGTTCACCTCACGCCGGATACGTGTGGGCCGGAAACGGTTTCATTTCAGAGAGTACTTAGGCGAGCCAAGTTCTCATGGCTCTGGCACAGAGAAGTTAAACGGAGATGGGCTTTTTCTAAGGCCCAAGAGCATGACATGTGTCCCGTGAAAATGTAAGTCGTCGTTCTGGAATTTGAAGTGATTAAAGCAGGTGCACAGAGCAGGAACGACCACTAGTGGTTCGCATGTAAGTAATGTTGGATGGTCAGATCCAGATGTCGTTTGAGTTTGGTGCCGTCAGGTCGGTGTTGACTCAGAGTGACCTGTGTGACAAAGAGGATCGTTTCCATAGGGCTTCCAGTGTGGTGATGTTGAAGGGGCAGGTCTTCAGGTCTTTCTCTTGGAGGACCAGGTGGGTGAGTTCAAACCTGCAACCTTTTGGTTAGCAATAACATGGGCATAGATAACATGTCAATAAGAGCAGCACTAACTGAGGAACGGGCTGTCAACTGGACTTACCATTCAATGCAACCCTACCCTACCCAACCCTGCCCTGCCCTGCCCATCCCTGCCCTGCCCTGCCCTGCCCATCCATTGCCATCAAATCAATTTCAACCTAATAGCAACCCTTTTTTCTTTGGAGCTGCTGGTGGATTTGAACTGGTATCTTTTCATTAACAGTCCAGTGCTTACCAAACAGCATCACCAAGGTTCCTGTCAACAGGACAACAAAGGACCAATTCAAAGACAAGATTTGTTTTTTATCTGACTGTGTCACACCTTCTGTGCCTTTACCCAACACCGAGGAGTCACTGGGTGGCACAAATTGTTTACTGAAAACTTGGCAATTCAAATTCTCACACACACACACACACACACACACACACACACACACACACGTGCCTTGGAAGGAAGGCCTGGTATCTACTCTGGGAAAATCAACTAACCCCTGTGGAGGACACTGCTACTCAGGCCCACCTGGTGGCCAGGCGTCTGCATCGACTCTGTGACAGCAAGTTACACAACAGACGGTTAGGAGAGTTCTGCACATGAACTTTAATATAACGACATGCCCGAAATCACCTAGCGCTTCCGAATTCACTATTTTAATGATAATAAACAGGAAAAGTATGTGCACTGAATTGGCAGCTTGCATGTAGTAGGAAATAAAGATTTAAAATACTGGTTCTTTTCTAGAGGTTGTTTTCTTGTACAATATTATTTTTCTGCTTATTTCCCCCAAGTGGAGCCTATGACAATCAGATGTCTTTATATTTTGAAATGTATGCCCCAAAGGAGCTTTGGTGGCACTGACTGGCTGCTGATGGACTGCCAACCGTACGATTTTGACTCAGAGTGACCTGTGTGACAAAGGTTCAAGCCCACCAGCTGCCCTACTTGAGAAAGATGAGGCTCTCTGCTGCCATACAGATTTATAGTCTTGGAAACCTAGGCAGTGTTTCCCAAAATAGGCACTTCCGCTCCCTGGGGACACTGGACACTGCAACGGCAGATACCTACCTTTATCCCGGATTGTGGGCTGTGTGCATCCGTTTTTCACTGCCAGGAGGGCACTGAGTGGTTTTTCTTTTTTGCAGAGAAGAGGCGGTAGGCCAGATAAGTTTGGTCATCCATGCGTTGTAGGGGTCGCTGTGAGTCAGAGTCACCTTGGTGGTGGTGAGCTCTGTGGTATGGCAAAGTTGATTTCATCTTCCAGACAAAGCTATTGAAATCTCCATTTCGTCAGTTCTAGTCAAATCTAGATGTGGCCAACATATGAAACATCTCAAGATTAAGAAGTTCAAAGTTCCAGTGTTATCTTGGGGTGACTATTTTAATTTCTCTTTCAAATCTATTACAGTTGAAGAATATGGTGTAAATTTTTCCGAAATTAAACCCAATTTACATGTAAATGTGCCAACTTCTCCATTATAAGTCTATTTTAATGACATGTAAATTAAGCCAAATTAATTCTTGCAAGTAAAAATCTGGCATTAAAAATACCTCTTATAGGAAGTGCCAATTTTTAAAGGTAAACTATTAAAAATATATCAGAATGTTGAGTTCAAATTGGTAAAGATTGAAGAAAAGTGATGTTGCTTTGACATGAATATCTTATATTTCAAGAAAGAATAGATTCTTTAGATAAAATTGCATTCTACAACAGAGCAAGGACTTGCACACCCTAATATGGTCTACAGTATGTAGTCCTAAAACAATAAAGCTGTAAAGATTAAGTAGCCTAGTAAATTGTCTGACACATAACATATGCTAAGAAAATTGCCCAGCTGGTTTAGAAAGATAATTTTTTTTTACGGGGGTGGGGGTGGGGTGTGTGTGTGTGTGTGTGTGTGTGTGTGTGTGTGTAGAAAGATAATTTATAGACTACTCAAACATTTTATTTATCTAAAATGTACTAAAGTACCTGTGTTTTGGTTCATTTGACCTATATGCCACATGTATATTCAACTCTTAATTCTTTCATCTAATGAGAGTTGGTGGATCATCTGAAATCATTTGTGAATTGGATTCTGAAGTGTAAAATGTTCCAACTGTGTTCCAATCCACCCACATCTTGTATCTGTGTTTGAACAAGGAGGCATTGAAAAGGGTGAATGTGAAACATGGGAGGAAGGAGAAAGGACTCCCCCCTAGAGGCTGAGGTGGTTCAGAGGTAGAATTCTTGCCTCCATGCAAGAGACCAAGGTTCGATTCTCAGCCAGAGCACCTTGTGCACAGTCAACCACACCTCTGCCCGTGGAGGCTTGCTTGTTGCTATGATACTGAACAGATTTCAGTGGGACTTGTGGACCAAGAGAGGCTAGGAAGTAAAGCCTGGCAATCTACTTCTGAAAAATCAGCCCATGAGAACCCTTTTGATCCTACCAGTCTGGTCCTGGGGTAATGTAAGAGTGGGCAGCGTCTCTTGTAGGGCATGAGTCTTTTCCAACTCCAAAGCAAGGAACAACAGACTCTTCCCAGAGTTCCCCTGTGTCTCAAGCATAGATAAGTTTTTAAAAAATGGATTTTTATGTGTGTGTGTGTGTGTGTAAATTAATTTACCAAAATATAGAGTTGGGTGTTACCTTGATGCTTGCAGTAAAAGTGAAATTATTTGGCATGGCTCTTCTGCCCACTGTCTTTGAAAATCCCCCAGATGACTGAACAGGAACATTCAAATTAGGTGCATGGGACGAAGGTGAGGGGATTGAGCAGTTTTGTCATTCCACTGGGTACAAAGTGGGCCATCTCTGAAGCAGAAACAGGGAAGCTCAAGACCCCCAAGAAGGAAGAGACACAGGATTGGAGCATGGTGAGGCCCCTCTGTGGAGAAGTGGTTGTGGCAGCAGAAGGAAAAGGGGTGGGCTTCCCAGCCCATGAAATGAGTGAAGCCAAGTACCTTCGGGCAGAAGGCTGGCTTGCAGAATGGGGTGCCCTTTGGACATTTATCAGCGTTAAGGACTTTGTATCATGCCAAGGGGCCATGTGGCTGAGAGGTCAAATCCAGAGACAGACATCTCAGACAGCATGACTAAGCAGAGGCAGTGCAAACAAAAGAATTACATCCTTCATGTTTTCTGATCCTGACTTGTTCTAACCTATTTGCTTCCATAATAAACACCCCAAATCATGACTATTGTGGTTTCTGTGTGGCCATTTCAATGGATGATCAAAGCCAGAAAAGAGGTAGAGTGCCATGTGGGAGGGGTGGTTGGTATCAGAACAGGATAAGGGGGATTGGATAGTGGGGGCATGTCTGACCTCGGCTTCATAGAAATCCTTCTTGGGTAGATGCGAAGTTGGATCCTCCTTTCCCTGTGTTGCTAAAAGAGGTCAGGCATGGTCTCCACATCATTTCCTTTGGGATTTATTATCACACATGTACTACATGGAGGCCAGTCTTCATTCTTCCTGCCCTCTCTTCTGAGCCTGAGCGAGGAGGTGCATCTCCATAAGATGACGGGAGACCCTAAGTACCATTAGGAGAAGCCTGTGAGTCATCTTTTTGGAATGCCCAAGCGCATCCTCTAGTGATGGCAGGAGAAGCCTGTGTGCCATGAAGGAGGGAAAAGACAAGGCATACTGGGTGCTGGTAGGATAAATGGGAATTGTAACTTGCTTGGATATTGGGACTATGTCCACAATGACTCCAGTTTTCAGGCTCAGTGCAGAGGAAAATACTATTAACTGAGAAAATGCAGAGCAGTATTTAATGCTTTAAGAGCGGGCAGTATCCAGGCCCCTTTTCTGATCGGTATTGCGACATCTCTGGTCTTCCTTCTCACACCGTGGGGTCACCGTTACTCTCTGCTGTTCTCCGTCTCCGCTGATCCACAGCAACTCACATCAGGGTAGCTTTATTTTAGGGTGGCTAATTCATCTGCGCTTTTCTTCCCAAAGGGTTCTTAGGCTTCTCCTGCCATCCCAAGAAATGTTGGCTCTGCGAAACTGCCCTTCCTACCTCAGACTCAGGGGAGAGGGTGGAAGGGAGGAAGACCCCCACCTCCACATGGTACATTTGTGATGAGAAGTTCCCATGCAAGGAAAAGGCAGCATCAGGACTGGAGGAAGACCCAGTGGCATGCATTAGGCAGATGACACAACCTTGCTTGCTAAGCTGAAAGTCAAGAGAGCCGGAAACCCTTCGGGATGGAGATCCAGGACTAGAGCTGCCTGTATGGAAAGCACCGCAACATAAAGCGCACAAAGGTGCTCACAAGTGTTGCCAATAGACAACACATTTATCATGAGACAAAATGGAAACGGTCAAGTTCATTGTACTCCACAATCAACACGTATGGAAACAGCAGTCAGGAAATCGAGCGACGCATCACGTTGAACAAATCTGCAACCAGAGACCTCTTTAGGGTGTTCTAAAGCAAAGGACTAATTTTGAACACCAAGGTGCACCTGACCTGTTGTTGTTGTGGTTGTTGGGTACCACTGAGTCAGTTCCTACTCATAACAGCCCCATGCACAATTGAACAAAAAACTGCCCA